TCACACACACACNCACACACACACACACACACACACACACACACACACACACACACACACACATATATATATATATCTATATATATCCTGTCTCTTGTACCTCCGAGAGAGTAAATACGATATACACTCGACCGGTCGGAGAAGCCAGGTGCTCCCTTATACTGTGATAGGCGCACAAGCTATGGCGTTCTACTGACACTCCCACTGCTCCTCTTTCGCCTTACTAGATGACATGCCGTACGTCGTGCTGATGCACAATCACACACGCATTGCGCCTTCACTGCCGCTCTTCACGTTCGATCATCCGAATACAGGTGGGTGTTGTGAGTTAGGGTTCAGGGTTTTAGGCTGGGGACGTTAGGGTATAGGGTTTCCGGTTGGGTGCGTTCCGTCCAGAAGTTTTAGTAATAGTAACTAATGGGCAGTGCTGGACACAGAACAGATACCACAGCGCCCGTCCCCCTTTTCATTTTAAGTAGACCCACATAACGGGTGTGTTGGTACGGACACTCCGATCTGTAGTTGGGCTATAGAGGTGTGTGCTCGGAGGGCCCCTACTCGTCGTTGCCCAGGAGTATGCAATTTACACACACAGGTGTTTGACCATCTCCTTCATGTGTGTTGAGCCGGTCGCGTGATAGTCTGGCTATTCACTACTGTGCGTGTGGTAAAACACGCAGACGGTAGTGTGAGAGCCCGGCATCTCTGCACACGACTGGGTAAACGCATTGTTATGAGATGGAACGCTTTTGTATCCGTCGCCTCTGCAATGGTTGTGAATGGCTTAGTAGTGTTATATCCTGCACGCTTTATGCAGAGTGGTGGTCAATTCTCGACTGTCTTCTGGCGCAGTAAATTGAATTAAGGGGTTTTTATTTGCGAGAACCTCACCTACATACTATGTTCTATATACCACCCTGTTCACGTAAACGTTTTCAACCGCTTCACGCAGTTGGGTACTTGTAGTCTCAAGGTGAGGGAAATATACATACGCCATACAGCGATATATCGTCACACCACACGTGTCGTTTTAATCCTCAAACTTTTAACGCTTATGTCCTAACGGTTCAATGTTCGTAATTGGAATAAACATACGTTAACGTTCAACTTTCTAATCGTACCCCTTTAGCGGATTGAGGGTATGGTTCATTGACAGTCCGACGCTGTACACTTTCCTTCCCATGATGCCACTTGAAGGCTTAATGCGTTTAACTATCTCATGCTCTCACATACACACTTATACCTCACTCATGCTCTCACATACACACTCATAACTCACCCATGCTCTCACTTACACACTTACAACTCACCCATGCTCTCACATACACACTCACAACTCACCCATGCCCTCACATACACACTTACAACTCACCCATGCTCTCACATACACACTCACAACTCACCCATGCCCTCACATACACACTAACAACTCACCCATGCTCTCACATACACACTTATAACTTACCCATACTCTCACATACACACTTGTATCTCACCCATGCTCTCACATACACACTTATATCTCACCCATGCTCGCACACACACACTTATATCTCACCCATGCTCTCACATACACACTTATAACTCACCCATGCTCTCACATACACTTATAACTCACCCATGCTTTCACATACACACTTATATCTCACCCATGCTCTCACATACACACTTATATCACAGCCAATGATGCCGTTTGAAGACTTCATGCGCCTAACTCTCTCATGCTCTCACATACGCACTCATAACACAGCCGAAGCAATTGACAATCGGCGCTACGGGTCTCTGACATTCTCCGCCGAGGGCGACCACCAAATGCACGGGATTGGTGGCTACTTCGAGACGACGCTGTACAAGGACGTCACCTTAAGTATGTCACCCTACCACCTGCACTTAGGTGTGGTACGTTGAGATCACTACACGTACAAACACCTTAAGTATGTAGCCCTACCACCTGCACTTAGGTGTGGTACGTTGAGATCACTACACGTACAAACACCTTAGGTATGTAGCCCTACCACCTGCACTTAGGTGTGGTACGTTGATATCACTACACGTACAAACACCGTAAGTATATAGCCCTTCTGCACTCATTGGATGTTTGCTACTAGGAGATCACTCGTACAAACAAGGCATGCCAACGTGAGGTGTTCGTTATAATCTGACTATGGATATGTATGTATGCTACATTACAGACACTGTACATAGACTGGCCAGTGAGTACATAGAGAGCAGCATACGATGATCTCTATATCAGAGTAGAAGTGGGACGTTTTATTCAGTTCGGCAGCATCTGCCAGAAAAAACCAAGTTTCCAAAGCACCTTTGGCCGGAGATTGAACTAAGCTTATCATACTGTTACGCGTGTGTGATCAATACACACACACACACACACGCACACACGCAAAAGTCGAGTTTCTCTATGGACTTATGCAGCGTCCACCCTCACATCGCGTGCTTGAACCCCCAAATGTTATGTAGTAACTAGTACCCCCAGGGAAAGTCTATCACCAACCTCTCATGCGGCCGTTCCTTTATACCCCTGTAGGTATCAACCCCCAGACACACTCACCCGGCATGTTCAGCTGGTTCCCTATATACTTCCCCCTCCCCAAACCCATCGATGTGCGCGCAGGCGACAGCATAACTATGCACTTCTGGCGCTGTGTGGACGCTAAGAAGGTGTGGTACGAGTGGTGCGTGTCGTCGCCATCGTGCACGCCCATCCAGAATGTCGCCGCTAGGACATATCACATAGGTTTATAGCTCACGTAGGTAGGTAGGTAGGTAGGTAGGTAGGGGTGGGTGGATGTGAGAGTATGAGGGATGGGGGCCGAGTGTAGTCTGGCTGTAGGGCGCAGGCTCACAACAGGGAAGATAATAAAAAAAAGTCGTCCCGCATTTAAACCGGTACGAAATACAGCGCCCCTTGCAACTTATCACTTGCTTTGCTGTGGCCGTATACGAATTAACTCAGAACTACGTTTTGCGAGGACTTAAAATAACAGAGCAACCTCGTTTGGAATCGAGGCAAAGTATATGGAAGTCCATATATATATGCATCGTGTACACAGAAAACAATATATATATATATATATATATATATATATATACTATATAATATACACATCACACACACACACACACACAC